TGAACGACAAGATCCAGAGCTGGGTCCTCTGCAAGCACAGCGCATGCTCTTCACTGTTGAGCCATATTTCCAGGCCCAGTTTTTAATCTATTTTTGTGGTTGTTTTTATATGAATTTTAGAGTCACTTTGTCTCATTTTGTAGAAATGGGGTAGACGGGGAGCAAAATGGATCAGTGGGTACCAGCTCTTGCTTCTCAAGCCTGATGGACAAGTTTGATCCCTGAGCCCATGGTGGAGGAAGAGAACCAACTTCCACAAGGGGACCTCTCACCTCTACAGCATGTGTGTGCACTGTGGACAGTGAACACCTGTCCACACACTCATATGATCATTATCATCGCCGTGGTCGATTTAAATATTTTTTTTTAAAGTTGGGGGGGGCGTTCAAAATGAGGAAAGGTTTGGGAGAATGATATGCTCACAATGTTGATTCTGTTTACCCGGAATTCTCTGTGCAGTTACCCCTTCTCACTGCAGGAGGCTCACAGGTCTGTGGTGAACACAGAGTTCCTCAGGTTGAGCACGGCCTCGTCTGAAAACAAAAGCAGAGGAGAGCTGCCGGCACCTCTAACAGAGTACTGGACCTTCTCACCTTCACGATGTGCCCATCCGTGTATGGGACCCATGGGAGCAATCGCTGTCCCTTCTTAAGCATGTGCTGGCTTCTGGTCTGTGCTTATTACTTTATTTAATTAGTGATCTGTGCTCATTTAGTCTCCACAGTAAACTTATCCCCAGCTTACAGCTAAGGAAACTGAGGTGCAGAGGGTAAGTGACTTCCAAAGCCTACAGTCTCTACGTTCCCGTGAACTCACGTGCAAACAGGAGGCAGATGTCCATGTACAGATGTGCAGGGTGGGGGCAGATGTGCCCAGACACTCCTAGATGTGTCAGGTACACATGTAGACATAGGTATACCAGCATATGTACATGCACACGAATATGCACAAACACACACAAGTCACACCTCACAGCCATCCATCCTCTCGTGGACCACACCCCAGCTCCCAGCCAGCTCCCACTTTCAGATGCACTCGGGACCCCCTGGTGCACGTCCCAATGTTTTCTCTGAATGGAGGCTGCTGTGGGATGTCTTCCTGTACACTGTGAATATGTGTTGCTCTGATTGGTTGATAAATAAAGCTGCACTGGCCTATGGCAGGGCAGGATAAGGTTAGGCAGTACATTCAGACTGAAGACGAGACGAAGAAGGGTGGAGTCAGGGGAGAAGCCAGCCTGCCACTCAAGGAGCAACAAGATACCAGCAGACCGGTAACACCATGGCCACGTGGTAATACATAGATTAATAGAAATGGGTTAATTTAAGATGAAAGAGCTAGCTAGCAAGAAGCCTGCCATAGGCCATACAGTTTGTAAATAATATTAAGTCTCTGAATGATTATTTTATAAGCAGCTGCAGGACTGTGGGGCTGGGCGGGACCGCGGGGCCGGGCAGGACTGGAGAAGCGTACCACTGCAGGAGACTCCCTCCCAGGATCCCTGTACCCAGAGGGCAAGGAGCACCACCACAAGGGTGACCTCAGAGCAATGGCCTGGGGAGAGGCACCTCAGTCCCTCTGTGTCACCTCAGGAGGATAACATGAGAGGAGGGATGGGGAGGACCATGGCAGGGCCTGGTACCCAGCAGGTGCTCAAGCATGGTCTCCCTCCCATTTCTTCCCCCAGGGCCATTATCTCCAGCAACCACTGGAATCAAACCATCCAAGCACGAGGTATTTGCCCAGGTTGTCCATTTCCGGGGCCTGGGCAGTGAGCTGGTAAATTCGGTGTTGGAGCAAGTGGCCCATGAGCAAGCCCACAGAGGTTGGGTGTCTCGGTGCATAGCGTGTGTGTGCTTGCATGTGTTCAAACACACCCGCCACCCTCCTCCTCCTCTCAGAGTGCTGGCTCTGAGTCAGCCCACATCCAAGGAAGGGATTTAATCACGCGGGGCTGGGAATGTTATTGTTTTAAAGCAAATGAGCAATGACAGCCTCAAACAGAGGGTTTTTAAAAACGCGATTCAAAGGGCTCTTGAATGCTGCTGGAGAAGATGAATGCGCCTTTGAAGTGAGAATGTGCCCATTTGTTAAGCTGAGGGCAGCACTGGCTGCCTCCTGGGGTGGCAAGTCGCGTTCCCTGGCAAACAGGTACCCACTGGCCTCTCTTTACCCAGCCAGCCATGGCCCAGAACCCCAGAGGCACAAGCACCTCTGGAAGGTCTCAGCTTTGGTGATCTGAAAGGGGCACCCTTTCAACAGCTCAATCTGTTTTTGAGATGGGGTCTCATGTAGCCCAGGCTGGCCTCACTCACCAGCTATTACGTAGTCAAGGGGTGCCCTTGGACTGATGACCCTCCTGCCTCCGCCTCTGAAGTGCTGGGAGGAGAGGTATGCATCACCGAGCCTGGTGCTGTGCTGCAGATCAAAACCAGAGGTTCCTGCATGCCGGGCAAGCATACTACCAATGGAGCTGCATTCCCAGCCCCCTCAACTGCTCTGGAGGCAGAACGTTCACAGGACAGCTGCAAAGAAAACCAAAGAGACAGTATGGAAGGGCCTTTGGCAGTCCTTGCTCTCCAAGCTGCCCTGAGGCTTGTCCTCTGGGGCAGGAATTCAAGGAAGAGCCCCCTCCCTCAAACTGTGCGACGTATGCACACATAAGATTAGGCATGTAAGTGGAGTACAAGGTTATAAGGTTTAGGGGTGCTACATACAGAGCAGGGCCACTCGGCTGGTCCCCCAAGAGCCTATTGTAACTCTTACTGAGGCACACAAATCAGTGCTTGAGCCCAGGTGAGATCTGGAAACAAAAGGTGAACCTGACCGTGAATGGTCCGTGCTGGTTAGACCTGGGGGTGAGAGGAGACCCAGGACCAGAGATCCTGCAGCCCAACCTGGTGTGCAGAGAGGCCCAGTACAGAGCCCTTCCAGCCCAATGGGACGTGTCCTTCCTCTTCTTCCTTTCCTTTGCCCCCTTCCTTAGTCCCAAAGCAGAACGGCAAGTGCTTTAGGTGCTTTCCCAGTTCTAGGCTCTCAGGGGAGCATGAACTCTGACCCAGGCCAGCACTGAGGATGTCAGTGTCCATCCCTGCACAGACGCCCACTTAGAACTAGACAACCCCATGCGGGGCATCGGTCCCCAGGGGAAGGCCTAGGCCAGCACTGTGACAATCATTATTTCACTGTACCCACAGTTTCTCTTGTATCCATGGATGGGGAAACTGAGACTCTAGAGAGCCAGAGCTTGCCCTCTGCCATGCAGCTGGCCAGTCCTGGGGTGGATACAAGGCAGCGGTCTGTAGATGCTGCTAGAGCCCCTGCCACTGGCCTGGAGGTGGGGACACCCACACTGCCCTGCTGGCCACGTCCTATGTGGCTCTAATCACTTGGGACTCATAGACAGCTTGTGGATTTAGCCTGGGAAGGTGGGATCTGACCCTGTGTCTGCCACTGAGTGGTGTGTGGAAGGTCCTGAGTGCCTTTTGGGGACTCTCTAGATGAGCTGTAGGGGTCACTCTCCATAGCACACTTCCTCAGGCTGTTGATACCTGGACCAGGACACAAACCCTGAGTCTGACTCTCGCCTTGTACTCATCCACTCCTTTAAGCCCTGGTCCAGCTGCTGCCTCCAGGGAGGTTAGCCCAGCTTCCCTGAAGGAGGTAGCTGGTCCTGTGGTTTGGATTGTTCCTCTCTGCCATATGATCTTCAACAGGTTCTGAAGACCAGGCCTCGCTGTGCCCTTTCTAAAAACATAGCTCATATTCCCTGGAGTCGTAACGTCACTATGAGGATCAAAGGAACACATGTGGAACCTTCTAGAATAATAGAACCTGTGAGGACTAGGACCTCTGTTGATATTCTTACCAGATGTTGACATCTGCCCACAACCTTGCTCCATTCCAAAGGCTGGTGATGTGAAGGCAGGCTGGGAGCTCCTCTCCCTTCTCCTCCCAACACCCTGGTCTAATCCCACCCCCACCTCTGTCCTCTTCCCCTCCATCCTGAACCATTTGCCTGAGCAGTCTGAGTCTGGGGAATGGAGCACGTTACTCCTTTTGAAGGAGCTTTGAGCTTTCATGCTCCGTGGGGCTGAGCCCGGCCAGACAGCTGCATGACTCTGCAGGACAGGGCAGCAGCTACCTGGACCCACATCCACAGCCTGGGCAGCCAGAATGGGGAGGTTGAGACTGACTGACTGGCTGGAGGCCAGCAGTCCCATGGCAGAGAGGCTCACTAAATAGACCCTACCATTAAGGTGCTTTCTAGCTTCAGGGAGGGACCCCTCTATTACTTGAACCTTGTGTCACCTCCATTCCGTGTTTTTCTTTTTTCCTTTGTGTGTGCATGTGTGTGTGTTGTGCCCACACATGTATGTGTGCATGTGCACTCATCCATACGTGAACATGTAGGCTAGAGGAGGGCATCGAGTACCCTACTGTCACTCCCTGCCTTGTCCTTTTCAGACAGGGTCTCTCATTAACCTGGAGCTAGGCTGGCATCCGGCAAGCCCCAGGGATCCTTCTGTCTCCACCCCCCAACAGTGCTGGGTGCATGGCACAGCCTGAATTTGTATGTGGGGTGCTGGAGACTGCAGCTCAGGTCCTTATACCTGCACATCAGCTGAGCCACCCCACCCAACCAACCTTTCAGCCACCCCTACTCCCACGCCCCCACACCACAGCTCTGAGGCAAAGGATGAGAACTAGACAAGACTCCCAAAGGGGGAGGGGACCAGAAGTGATGGAAGTTGGGGAGGGTGGAGCAGAGGCAGAGGCTGGCTAAAGAAGAAAGTATGTGGGCAAGACTTTGTTTGGTAGGGGAGGATGCTGAACGCCAAGCACTGGAGCCAGACTGACCTGAGTTCAGGTCCTTCTCAGGGTATGAGCTTGGGCAGGTTACCCAGCAGTCCCTGCTCTGTCTGCCGTGGGTGTTCCGGGGGCCAACACATGGGGCTGAGCAAGTGCTAACTGGTGGCTCTGTACCCTGTTTCCCACAGATGACGTGCCACCGTACTTCAAGACCGAGCCAGTGCGCACCCAAGTACATCTGGAGGGGAACCGCCTGGTGCTCACGTGCATGGCTGAGGGCAGCTGGCCGCTGGAGTTCAAGTGGTTACACAACAACCGGGAGCTGACCAGGTTCTCGCTGGAGTACAGGCAAGTCATCCCCCATCTGCATGGAGCTAGACGCCTCCCTCTCCTGAGAAAGGAGGGTGGAAGACTTGGGTACATAACACGGACCACAGGCTCCCGTGTAATACTCCTGAGAGGCTGGGACTGCCCTGCTCTGGAGTTGACACCCTACCCTGGTGATGCCCGCACTGGATGGCTGAGTGGTAGGCCCGGGCGTTCCCGATACGACTCTAGATGGGGCAGAGATGATTTTGAGGATGTAAACAGTGCCTTCCTCGCCTCCCCACGGGAAAGAACCCCACCCTCTCTAGAAAGTTCTACTGAAGGGGGCTGGACATGTAACAATTCGGGGGAGCAGTAGCAGAGGAGACAGGTCTTCCGGGGATCATGCAGATGGGACATGAAGTGAGGCTGTCCTGAGTATTGGACTTCATGACTCCTCCTGACCTCACTCTGGCCGAACAGGGACAAGCAGGGAGTGAGAACTTGGGGTTGGCACAGTTGGATTTGTCATGAGGACTTTTGCTGCCAGGAACCCGTCTGAGGGGCCCTCCCGCAGTGGAGCCTGGCCTCTGCTTGTTTGCTGGCCCTGCAGAGCGGGACGTGGTGCTCCCTCCTCCCACTCTTATCCTCCCATCTCTGCCTTTCTCATTGGCTCCCAGCCCCCTGCCTGTGATTAATCCCCAAGCACGATGTGCATAATCGGTTTTGTTGGGGAAACAAGATTGTCCTGCCCTGGGGACTCTGATACAAATCTGTCACCAGGGATGAGAATGCAAATGAGAAGAGGGGGGGCTCACCACTGGAACATCTGCCCATCCTCTCCGGGATAGTCGTCCTTTCCATTATGAAGCCAGGAGGCCAGAGTCTGGGGTGACCTCCCTTCTCAGTCTGTGACCTTATCCTGACTCAGCTGGTGCAGGCTGACCATATCAGCCAACAAGGGAGGAGAAGAGGCCACATCATCCCTTCTGTGGGGCTTGGGTGGGGAACACTGGACCAGGAAGCAAGAGATCCTCTTCCATTGCCAGCTAGTCTAGACAGGAATCTCCTACAAGGAGGCCAGAAGGACCTCTCCAAGCAGCCTCCATGATGACTTTTATCTGGGGACCTGGAGCCATTTCTGACTACCACATGGCATTGTTAGGAACAGTTGACAGTGTGTGAAGAGCCCCTGCATCCTCTTTGGTGGGATCTTAACTGAATGGGGTACCAAGAGCTTTCCAGGAACATATTGTGAGTACTGGTTTAGAAGCAGCCTCCTGCTTGCCCTTGACTAGGAAGCTGGAACAGGACCCTGGAGGAAGAGGCTTTGCTCCCTAACTGGATCAGAGCCTCTTTGTGGTACCCTGTACTGCCAGGTACACTCAGCAGCAAAGCCCAGTTCGGATCAATGGTTGGTTTTGGGGTTTTGTTTTGTTTTTTGTTTTTTTTGTTTTTTGGGGGTTTTTTGTTTGTGTGTGTGTGTGTGTGTGTGTGTGTGTGTGTGCGCGCACATGTGTGTTTGTGCATGCATGAGAGCAGACGTGCACATGTGTTCACGTGTGTCTGGAGGCTAGAAGATAACTTCAGTTCTTCCTTGGGTGCCATCTACCATGCTTTTTGAGATAGGTGTCTCACAGGTCTGGAACTTACCAATTCAGCAAGGCTGGTACACAAGTGAGCCCTAGGGATCTGCCTGTCTCTATTTCCCCAGCACTAGAATTACAAGTGCATGCCGCCAGGCCAGATGTGGAGGAAAAAGAAGTGAGTTCTGATGTTCAAAGTCAGGCCCTCATGTTGGCACCGTGAGCATTTCACCAACTAAGCTGTTCCTTCAACACCTCGGCACTGTCAACGATCGGCTTTGCTCAGCGATGGAGTGGGCTGTCTTTGGAAATGGTTCTTGGCCCCCGCAGCGTTAGTGAGCAGTCGGGACCCAACTACTGCAGATGGTAGCCAGGCACGATTGCACAGGTCACCAATCCCAGCCCTCAGGAGCCTAAGGGCAGGAGAATATTGAGTTTAGGACCAACCTGAGCTACCTAGCAAGTCTCAGGCCAGCCTGGGATAAAGGATGTAAAGGATGAGATGAAACCCTGTCTCAAAAACAAAACACGCATATCCCCCCCCCAAAATTGTCAGTGACAGTTATGATGATGATAATCACGGTCAATGAAGAAAGGACTCATACAGGGTCGGCATGGTGGTGTATGCTCCGGAGTAATGTCACTGGATTCTGCCAGCAAGCCATTGAGTTTCACAGATGCACGAACTGGAGCTTAGGGGGGTTCAAGGACACACCCGAGGTCAGCCGTGTCAGCCGAGCCTCAACGATAAGCTGTAGAGATTGGGGGATGGCTCGGTGGGTAAAAGCACTTACAAGCCTGGCCACCTGAGTTGGGTTTCTCAGAACTCACGTAAAAAGCCAGATGTGGCGGTGCACATCTGTAATCCCAGCTCTCTTACAGCGAGGTGGTGGGAGGTGAAGACAGGAGATCGGGGGCCGGCTTGCCTGGGGTGTGTGGGGAAATGGTAGGAAACAGTCAGAGAGACCCCACTTCAGAACAAGCGAGGAGGGGAACCGACTCCCAAAAGTTGTCCTCTGACTCCCACGTGTGCTGTGGCTTGCTCACACGCCCTCACAGCACACCCATACAAACATTTTATCTTTTAAGATTAGCTGTGTGACTCCAGAGCTGAAATCCTTTTTCATCCACCACCCTGCCTCTCAAGGAGAAAGGATCGCGGCAATTGTTTCCTTAATGTGTATCCTTAGCAATCTTTCTGCTAACTGTGCTCTGCAAATTCTAGAAAACAAAGCAGTGGGGGAATGCAAATATCCCAGTTTATAGCTGTGTTGGGTGGAAGTCATCCAGGGGAAATAAATGAGCTTCCACTCGGGGAGCACATCCCTTCGCTTGGCCGCTGCGGGAACGCCGGCTTTCGTGGCCTGGTGGCAGTGAGATACTTGAATGGGAAGCTGGTTCGGATGGCCAGTTCATCAAACACTGGCTGTGACTGTGAGTTAGGGCTCTGCTCCTCCGTGTGACCTGAGCACTCTTCATGGTTGGCTTCCAGCGGCATCTCCTGGTCTCATGCTGATTCCCTGGTTCCATCTAGGGTAGACATTGCCAGCAAGCTAGACGCTTTATGGGTCTCCAGACAATTCCTGCATGTTCTTTTTCTCTTGTCTTTGTCCAGCCTCTCCCAGCCTTCCTTGAGCCCCATCCAAGTGACTTTCAGAAAGCCTGATTTTGTCTCTTGTGTGTGTGTGTGTGTGTGTGTGTGTGTGTGTGTGTGTGTGTGTGTGTGTGACTCTCTCTCGCTTTCATTCCCTCTCTCTCTGTCTCTCCATCTCTGTATGTGTATCTGTCTGTCTCTGTATTTTTCTCTCTTCCTCTCCCTCTCCCCCCACCACATGCCTCTCCTCTGCCCTTTGACTTTTATATCCCATGATATCTTGCCTTCTGAAAACGTATATAGGACACTCTGAACAGACCACAGGACTAAGGTAAGAACCTTGACAACATTGATAATTCCAGGGACCTTGGGTCTTTGAACCCAGAGCCTGACGTCTCCTGGCCTTCTTCCCTATGGACTATTTTGCTATCCCTACCTCTGGGTTCAGCTTCATTCCCACGCAGTGAGTGACCCTGGGGAGTCCAGGTGTGGCAGGTTATGACTGTTTTGAGTAGGACTTCCTGAGAAGCTTTCCTTAGGAAAATGCAGGAAAGGATCAGATTGGGCAAACTCAGATCATCTCCAACCCATTACAATGGGCAGCAGTAGCATGCCACCCTGGCCAGGCCTGTGTCATGTGCACCATTGCTGGGCATCCCCCCCCCCCCACTCCAGCCATGAGGTAGTAAAGGAGGACAAAAGTCATTAGCAGAAGTGGGGAGAGGGTGATGGTCAGGTAGAAGCTGCCAGTTCCCACTACACTGCACCCCATGCCCAGTGAGAGCCTGGCCATAGCAGGTGCTTTTTCTGACATTTCTGTTTTCAATTTTGAAGTTTCAAATTAGGAAAATGGTAGATAGCATGATATCCGTGAACACGTGCACACACCTTACCCTTCACCCATCACTCGCATACGGCCCCTTCTCTCTCCACACGCACACGTATGTATACTCACTGTTTTTGCTCAACTGTTTAAGGATTGGTTGTGGACTTCACAGGGCTTCACTGTTAGGGAATATTTCTTCAGGACAAACTCTTCTACAGAACCGTGACATGGTGGAGACAGAACATGGATACAGTTCTGCCACCTTTAGTGTGGTTCATATCTAGGTTTCTCCATTTGCTTCATCTAGCAACGCCTCCCCCAGCCCAGTGTCCTTCGTGGCCATTCCGTTTTCATTTGATACAGGACACAGTCAGGGAGGAGAACACTTGGCATCTCACTGTCCTGACTCTCCCCCCACCCCCGGCTTAACTGGCATGGATATATGTGAGACGGCAGCCAGTTTTACCAGGTTTCCCCCAGAGTGGATTTTTCCAGTTGGATTGTCCTCGTTTGGGCAATGTGACATCGATGTGGCCTGGAGACACCAGCCATTGGGTTGTCCCCTTTCCCTTTTCACCTTCTTACCCAAGTACTCATTCAGGATCACATGATGCCGTGTAGATACACGGCCTCTGACATCTCACACCTCTCTGATGACTGTTCTGCAAGGGGACTTCTAGTCTTTCACAACCAGCACGTAGGGAGTGTGTGTGTGTGTGTGTGTGTGTGTGTGTGTGTGTTACTTGCCTTACACCAAGGCAGTCCTATGCATCTGCATACAGTCATGCATTCCTTAATGTCCAGGATGTGTTCTGAGAAATTTGTCCTTGACAATTCTGTCATTATGAGCACATGAAAGGGTAAACGTACAGAAGCATCAATAGCAAAGACGGTCCATTGACGTGGCCTCGTGACTCAACCAGGAGACGCGATGAACAATACTGCCGGCATAATAAGGCGCACCAATTTACAATACCTTGGTTTTATTAGCAGACAGAGTGCACGTGAAAATAATGATAAAAAGTATCATGTGGTA